CCACAGCAGATCTAACAAAACTACTAGTATCCCCACATTACACCTTGTGATAACCAATGTAGCAGGCCTTCTTATAGAATAGTTCTTGGGTCACCCCAGCAGCATTGACACCTCTTAGGTAAAGAAGCCATCACAAACATAACCACACCAACTATACTATGGACTGAACCTCCATAGTCTGATTCTACCCATTGCCACACAAGGTCAGCATGGGAATGCAGTATTATAGGGAAAATGTAATGCATTGTTTGTTGTGGCTACTCCATTACTTCAGTAATAGTGATTTTTGATACTTTTCTATATGCAAGTTGGTACCTGTGACATTGAGGCACTTGTTTTTCTGCTCTCCCAAATTTCAGTAAAGTCCTAGTTTGCTAACTAAGTTGATTTTGTAATGTGGCAAAAATAACATAATTGCCTTCAACGACCTAAGTGTTAAAATAACCACATATTCAAATACCCATTATTTTCTCACATCCCTAATATTTTGTGTGCAATATTTAGCATAAGAATGTAAGGATGAAAGAAGCATTTACTTCTTTTAAATATACAGAATATATGAAAAAAGCCCTATGTACATACAACATTTGACATATGTTTGAGACAAAGAAAAGCTTACCATTGATTCTAAAGATCGCCCAGTTCCTTTTTATATTTTCATCACCCCCAATAGAAAAAGTGAACTCTGGATCAAATTCATCATCATCAGTAGCTTCAATTTGTGCACGTTCTCCTCCAACGAGTGGATGGCAGAAGAATAGAGAATAATTCTTAGCTAAGCGGGGAGCATTATCATTCACGTCTTCTATGTGTAGTATGAAGATCGCTGTGGAGCTCTGAGATTCTTTACCTATAGAATTCAATACAGCGTGAGTTATTCTTCAGAGCTTTGACTTCAGTCATAGTGAATCAGGGTTTTGGAGCTATAGCATCCTTGAAGGTGGAGGTTAGTTGTTGTGCTAGAGAGTTCCTGTCTTCAGAACAGAAGCTATGTCCAAGGGCGCACTAAGTGACTAGTGGCAGTTCCTTCTGCTTTAACAATGTGGCTTGGGTACCTTCCACTGCTTGGCATTCTAGAGTGCTAACTAGTAGAAAAGGAAATGCAGTGCACATTGTCCCCAAGGTCCCTGAGTCTTTCCCTTCTTTTAGGGAAATATTTTGGTTAATCCTTGCAAGAGTAGGCTAATGGCAGGACCTCTCTTGCCATCAGCATAAGAACTCAGCCAGGTGCCTGGACCAGCTGCCACACACAGGGCAAGCCTCACCTTGCTTCAAGATCAACTACCAGTTGCTGCAATCACAATCCAAATACCATTTATTCGCCCCCTATCCCTATTTGCACCCAGAGCTTTTGGCTCTACTGCTGTGCCCTAATTGTACCACTGCCTCTCTCTTCCTTTGTACATCTCTGAAAGAGCAATCATAGTGTAGCTTTTCATCCACAATGACATTAGATTGCCCTGGCATGTGCTGAAAGCAGTGGAAGCTATTGGACTTTCAACTTGAACACAACCTTAATTGAGGCTTCAGATGATCAGTCACAACGCAGCTGTATTAACCATTCATACAGTTTAAGTGGCAAAATGAAATCTTCAAAAATGATTGCCTAAAACCCAGCAGCAACTCGATCTGAGGTTTTCATTCTGTTTAACATTGTTCTAGTTTATTGTAATGAACTGGAATGCTGCACAGGGTTGTGTGGAGCTCCTACACACCTAATTCTACCAACCTTTCACTCCCGAAGTACCTTTCATTGGGAGGGATCTCTAAAACCTTTACTAAAGCTACCACTGTGGCTCCATTTTTAACTTTTTACAAACAAGGAAATGGACAGATAGGCGAAGGAACTTGCCTATGACCACTGCAAGTCAATGACAGAGTTGGGGATGAATTCAGGTCTCATGTCTTGAAGCTCTCTGGTAGCTGCAGGTGTGAGGAATATTCTCCCAATATTTTAGAGCAGGGGTGTCAAAGATCAGACCTGTAGGCTAGATCCAGTTTGCAGACTCAAGTAATTTAAGCTACAGGACTCCTGGAAGGGCCAGCAACTCTAGGGTATGGAGTCCTGCTAGCAACATTTTGGCGGAAGTGCAGCTAATGATGGCTGAGTTAGTTTCTGCAGTTCCCTGTTCCAACATAGTAGCTCAGGCACCCATGGTGGTTAATGTCACCACCATTTATGGCTGCTGGACTAGTGATGGGTCCAGATCCAGCCTGTGAGTTTCCTTGTGTCCCATGAGGAGCTCCAAAACTTGGATCTGGTCTAGGGGCCAAACAAATTTGACACCCTATTTTAGACAACAGTTGCATCTACTAAAAATTTTTGAAATCCTACCTTCACTTATGCACTGACCTTTGAGAATATATAGAATAGCAGAGGTCAAAAGGAAGGCAGAATTTTCCCTAAAATTATTTGCTACAGGAAAAAACCAACAATGTTATAACCATATAATGTGTAATCTTTGAAGAAAGATCTCTTCTGTTAAATTAAATCAATTGCATGTGGTAGTTAATCTCACTGTAGCTATTTCAGTCCACAAATTTCAATGTACAGAAAGTAATTCCTTTGGTTATATGTTCTCCCAAGAGTAAACAACAAGATGTATCAAAAATAATTTAAGACAATACAGCTGTTACAGTTGTATCAGATACAGTTCTGGTTTCCTATATCAGCTGTGCATATAGTTTTGGAAGCCATATATGTAGGACTTTGATTACTTACTGGTCTGTATTGCAGTGACCTCTACTCTGTATGCACGTTCTTGTTCTCGATCCAAACGTGAAGCAGTATATATGTCTCCAGAGATTTCATCAATTCGTAGCCACTTCCTGTTATTGTTCTTTAAGGTATATCTTCACAAAGAATAGACAATACAGATATTCTATTCAAAACCATATATTGTTGATAAAGCAAATGCCCTCTCTTCGGATAAAAATAAAAATATCTACACCAATGGAAACGTTATTGAGCATTAAAGGTAAAGCAATTACTGTAGCACCCAGAGACAAAGAAGTGAGCTGATAGTTCCACCAGAGATAGAGAGACAAAGCAAGAGACACAATGGGCCTTCACGTGACTCCCACAATCTGCCAACAGCACCCTGTGTATAACATAATTATGTTGCCAAGCAAAGGTTAATACACATTCAAATATGGTAATGTGCATTAAGCATCACTTAAAACCATGCTCTTTAGTTAACATGCATTAAACAAGCTAATGCACATTTTCCTAGTACCACACAATGGAGCCATTTGTATACATGTTTGCACTGCAGCACCAGGTTCTCTTAAAAGTGCCCGGCGCTGCAGCACATGCATTTGTATAAACAGCAAAATGCGCGTCTGCACAGAGAAAATGGCAGCGGTGCACTTTTGAACTAAAACGCTTCAAAGGTTTGGGTTTTGTTTTAGTTCAAAAGTGTGCCACCACTATTTTCTGCAGCACATAGCAGCTCAAAAATGTATGTATATAAATGCCTGGAGGTACTAGATTTAATGTGTATTAACTAAAGCTCATTAATGCACATGTAGACACACCCACAGAGACAGGCTTTGAGAATTAAACAAGAAATAAAAGATCAATTTTAAAAACATTGAATGTAATACTAAACATGGGCTTTACATGAACTAGTCTTCAGTTAGTGCATCAAAAAACTCCTTTATTGATATGAAAGCATTATTGGCCTGTGGCCTATTTTTATTCTCCATCAACTCTGTGCACAATACATTCACTAGTTAAACCCACTTGAAACTGCAAATCCTGGAAACAATGATTGTTTTCAACTCAGTAATGCCTTTCTTTCTAGAGATTTGCTGTGGCCTGTATTTCATACACTACCACAAGTCCCACTAATTATTCTAAATGCAACATAAAACAAGAAAGTAGACACAGAAACACTGCTGGAAAAGATCACATACCACAACAGAATCACACCCAACTCCTTTCATTGCATTATTTCCCACCATCAAATTTAACATATACATGCATTTGAAAAAGCTTTGTATTTTCCTTGTATTCCAGAAGTTTGGATGGGTCCTGTTCTAAACAGATATATTGCTGTTCCTAACCTCAGTATTTATAACTGGGTGTTCACAAGCTGGAGTAATGAAGCTAGCAGCTGATGTAAGAATCCACTAAATACTATAAACTGTAAATAAAGAGAAGACACTATTTTTTTTTACCTTATTTCATCCCCCTCGGGATCATATGCCTCTGCTTTCATTACCAAGGTGTTTACAGAAGTATTTTCATATACAGTTGTTATATAAGTGAACTGGCTGAAAACCGGTGGCTCATTCACATCAGTCACAATAACTCTGAAATAGGCAGTGGAGTTTGACTGATACTGTACTCCAGACACCAGAGGTTCAGGGTTTGTGGCCTTGATCATAAGGTCATACACTGAAGATTTTTCAAAATCGAGAGCCTGAATAAATGGGGAAAGGTTGCAACATTAATAACATATTAATTAATAATAGAATGGCAATGTTTACATTATAACATTCATAATATATTTATATTCTTTTTTTAAATGGGGTGCTGCTAAAAGTCCTGGAGGGGTGCCTTGAGTCTGAAAAGATTGAAAGCCCCTGGGCTACACGGTGGAAGCCTTCCTCGATAAACAACAATTCCAATAAAGGTTGTAACTGCTTTCCCAAATTTAGCATTTTCTGAAATTTTCCCAAATGTTAGCATCTTATTTATAACAATATTATTTGCTACAAGCAAGGAAGTCCTGGTTTACAACTGGTTAAAAACACTTACATGATTAGTAAGTAGGGCTGTCAAATGATTAAAAAATTTGATCGTGATTACTTGTGGATAATTAATTGCAGTTTTAATCACACAGCTAAAAAACTCAAAAATATGCACAGAAAAACTCAGTTATGCAAAATTATGCAGGTACTTTGTATGGTTGAGGGGTAGGGATAGGGGGTGTGTGGCGGGGTGGGTATTTGTGAAGATGTGGGGGCGGTGGGTGTGTGTGGGGTGTTTGGAGCATGGGGAGGGGGGTTCCTGCATACCCTGTCAGGATGTGGGCTAATGAGGGTCAGGAGTGAG